TATATTGTTTCTCTTTTTTAATTTTTTTATTCATTTTAATGAGAAAAAGATAAAATAGCAATGAAACAGTTTCAAAACAGGTTAGTAGGACAGTTACAATAATTATTACATTGCATGTTTTCTTCATGGTAGTTATTCAGAGGAGAAGATGCAGACATGATAGCTTGTCTAAACACTGTCAGTACAAACCTTTCTTCGCATTGAATGAGGCATGATCTCTACCCAACCTTTAGCCATGCTATGTATGAGGTTGCTGGCCTCTCCTTTCTGATTGTCTTGAGCACTCTGTATGCTTTATAATTTATTCATCACACTGAGCTTGTTATTTTAATCTTAATATCCAAATGCATCTTAAAAAACTACAGAACATGTAGGTACTGTGAGGAAAATTCTGAATTCAAACAGTCTGTGCCATTCTGACCATGCTACTGCCTGAGTGGTGCCATTGGCTCCAGGTTTCCTGGATCTCTCTAGTGAATGCAAATTATTGATTAATTGACTGGGTATACTAGGGACTGAGCCCAGGACCCCATATTGAACTGTATGTCCAGCCTATTTATGGCTTTGTTTTGTCTTTTTTTTTTGTGGGGGGAGTAGTCTTGTTAAGTCACTAAGTTTCCTGGGCTGCTATCCCAGGGTGCTAGGATTATAGGTGCGAACCATTGTCTGCACTTGATTTATATCTGAGCCATGACTTAGAAACAGAGGATAGTGAAAAAGAGATCCTACATTGATTCTTTTTTAATTAGTGCCTCAAATTTTCCTGTCAGATAAAACAAAATAAAGTTAATCTGGAACAATTTATTGAATATTTTGCACCTGTTTTTTGGATTTACTCCTCTAACTGCTGAACCTGTAAAATATCCAGATAATTAAATATTTGCTGGTACATGAAGCAAGTAGAGGTGGTGTGATGGAGATGCAACCATTAATCACCATATGTTACAGAAAGAAAGCCTTGGAAAGGCAGGGAGATGGAAGCTTAGAAGGATGAGGAAATTTGCTCAAAAACAAGGCCTTTGAGTTGAGATTTAAATTTTATCCTCAATAAAGCTAAAAATTACACTTTGAAGGTGAGAACTTACATCTTTCATGAAAACAAATCAAATATTTTATGTACTAACAAGATTTTTCAACATATTTAATTTTGGTTCACTAATTTTAGCCTATATGTGTTGATTTGTTTCATAATCTTAGATGATACATTTCAAAAAAGCGTAAGTTTTTAAAATTTAATTCAATTTTCTGGCCCTTTGCATATAAATCTTTATTGTGAAAAAAAAAAAGACTATGCTAGGGAGATAGCTCCACAAGGTAAGAGGCTGCCTGGCAAGACAAGGATCTGGCTTTCATCCTGGGTACCACATACCATGCTGGCCCCAGAATCATGCGTTCTGGGTGCGCCATGAAGTCACCAAAACCAGCTGTGGTGGTGCACACCTGTAACCCCAGTGCTGGGGAGGATGAGACAGGAGAATCACTATGAGTCCAAGCTGTGTAGCGAGACCCTGTACCAAAAAAAGAAATAAAAGATTTTTTTAATGAACAATAAAATATTATATTTAATATCAGAATTCAAAGTCACACATCTTAATCAGCACTGTAATAGATACATTGAATTTTGTGTTGAGCCCCAATATCTTGAATAAAAATCAACATGTCTTAAACATATTTTACACTCTGTGCAGTGATTCTAGGATATCGAGTTCAGCCTCAAGAAACTGACACATTGGGCTATTAAGTATCTTTGACCATACTCCTGTATATTTTAATGCAAAAATGCCTATTATGACTCATCCTTTTTGTTAGTTTAATCCTTTAAATTATCAAAGATATTACAATAGATGAAATGCTACTTTTAAAGAAAATAAGCTAAACTATTATCAGTGAAACAAATTCATAGCATGAACGATTTAACCTCGGAAAGTGAGAATGAAAAGCACTCTTGTTTTAAAGGATTTGTAGTGGGAAGTTAGGGGGGTAGTGGGCTCAGCACGATAGAGACAGGACCTACTCGGAACCTCTAAGCAGGAGCAAACATGACTCTGGAGAAGGCTTAGCTTTGTGGTAATGTGCAACACCCAAGAACAATATTTCAAGTAAGGTGTTATGTCTAAACTATTTCTAGCTGATAAACGTTACCTAAATATTAAAAATATAAGATATCATTACATATGAGCGTATAACTATGTTTCTCATTAGAAATCTTTATTTAATTACTATTTTATCGTATAGTAATATGATGTAAACTATTACTTTTTATTTTTCTTAATTTAAGTTGATTATAGATTGCACATCTGTATCAGTCAGGGTTTTACTAGTGGTACAGATACAACACAGGATGTATAAATGTATAAGAAATTCCAAGATTGGCTTAAAATATTCAGTCAAGGAGTTGGATGAGGAAGCAGGCAGAGGATGTCTGCACACTGGAGGCTGAAGGTTTCAGCTCAAGGTCGGGATCCCACAGCAATACTCCGTGCAAATCTGTATCAGGATGCTGACAGATCTGCAATGGGAAGTTCCATGAGTCTACACCAGAAGGCTGAAGGATCCCAAGCAGAAGCCAAGAGCTTGCGTTAGAGCCAGGAAATGATGTCCAAGCTGGTGGCAAAGACTGGAGCTCCCCAAGAAGAATAGGACCCTCCTTCCTTCTTCATTGTCCTTTAAGTAATGAGTCACTCTAGGGTAGAGCTGCCATGCCCTGGGGTGTAGAGTTGCTGAGACAATTTAGTAAAGCTCTTAGCTTCTCAAATTGACCCAAAAAACCAACTACTACAGCATCCATTATATTTATTTTTTGAGGAGTCACATAAGCAAACACAGATTAATAGATTATATCAATAGTTTAATAGAGTTTCATTGAATCAGTCAGAGGACTTCAGGACAGTGATCTCCAGGCAGGTTTTTCCAGTTAAAATTTGAGCTACAATTCTGTAAATAATTTGATTTTATTATTAAACGAAATTTATTTGACTATCATTCTCAATAACTTTGCCAAAATTATATAAGGAGAACTAAATGTAATTTATAATTAACAAGCCAGTAATAATGTAGCACATTGTGCAGTTCATAGGATAAACTGTCCCCTTTCTTTTTTTCCTTTTCTTCCTTCCTTCCTTTCCTTCTTCCCTCCCCTTTTTTCTTCATTTTACTTTTTCTTTTATATGAAACTCCTTTCTTCTACTTCATTATAAAATATGATAATTTGCCTTCTATTTAAATGTGGCAGAAAGTTCAGCTATGGTTAATTGAGGAGAATAAGAAGGAAAACATAATTCCTATGTAAACAATCTTATGTCCTCACCAAAATCATTCTATTATTTATTTATTTATTTATTTATTTATTTATTTATTTATTTATTTATTTTTGTTTTGAAACCACAACTTTTGCACTGAGATTGATTCCTGGCTGTCTCAGTTACCTTTCTGTCATTGCTGGGGCAAACATCTGGCACTCAGAAATAATGAAGGAAAGGTTTATTTAGCTCACAGTTTGTGGAGGTTTCAGTCAATACACAGCTGGCTCCAAGGAAGACTGGCATGTGGTGGGGGCAACAGTTCATGGTGCTAGAAAGCAGCAAGAGCAAAAGGGAGGGGTAGCAGCAACAATGGCAACAGAGAGCAAATCTGTCTCCCTTCTGTTGTATGCAGGCTGTCCACCCCAGGCTGGGTGTAGAACTCACACTCATAATCCCAGCAGTGCTCATACGCATAATCCCAGTGGATCATGAGTTAATCACAAATCCTGGAAGTCCACCCCATGACTGCATGAGGCTTTAGGAGGACACCTAGACACAAACCACAACACTTGCTCATTGTTATTTCTCCTTTTGAGGTAATATCTTGGTAAATTGTGAAGTTAACAGGATGGGCTCAGACTTGACAGCTTCCTGTGTCAAGACTCTCAGAATATTAGGATTACAGGATCATGTTACTGCTCCAGGATTATACATGAACTTTTACAAATTTTACACTGATTTTTGTTATACATAGAATTGTTTTCTTCTTTTGAACAGAAATAGCATTTGTTTTATCAGATTTATTAGTATATGAATGACAAAAGTTGTAACTGAGGCATGTGATGCAGTGTTTTGGTATAGGCATCAAACATCAAGATTATTACAAAGCTAAATGCTTAAATTAATGTGGTCTTAGAATAAGAATAGATAAAATGATGCCTGAAGACCAAAGAATCATAGATACTTTATTGGTGTTGCTGAGACAATTGATTATTCATAGAGCATACATTCACAAACACACACAGAAACACATGCAGAATAAATTAAAGGGAAGAAATTTGATTCCTACCTCATAATCAAATAGATTAAAGACTTACGTATACAACAAAAAGTACAAAATCTTTAATAAATAGTATAATACAATTTTATTGGTTCTGAGTTAAGTTTGATATTGAATATGAAAAGTGCTTGCTAATTGGTCCACATTAAACATGGAAATTATTTTTATTTCTCAAACACATAAATATGTAAGTAGAAAAGTAAAAATTTGGAAAATATATTTGATGCCTATATTCTTGAAAAGATATTATCTTGTATATATTTCAAAGTGTAAAATAATTCCTAGAATATCTGTACACAAAAGCCAAAGAGATAAAAAAATTTAAAAATGCCTATGTCTTACTAATAATTAGAAATATACAAAATAACATTATCATAAGAAACAAGGGGCTGGTGAGATAGCTCAGTGGTCTAAAGTGCCTGCTTAGGCAAACTTAGGCAAGCACAAGGACTGCGGTTCAATCCCCGGCACCACAGGCTGCCATGCCAGCTCCACCCACAGGGCAGGCTGAGCCAGCCAGAGTCAGGCTCCTGAGCACTGGGATTACAGGCATGTGACACCATGCCCAGTACTGGGGATTGAACTTGGGTCCTTGCCCTCGCCAGGCAGACACGTAGACCACTGAGGGATTGCCCCAGCCTTATGGACTGGTCTATAAATGCTCTATAAAAGGACCCTGTATTAAAGGTTTGGTCTCCAGTATATGATGATACCTTGGTAATGCTGCACATTGCTGCCTGAGCACTGGGGAAGCCAAACGTGGAGAGCTTAGTGTGCAAAATTAAAATAATAAAATAAAACGATTTGGTCTTTAGAGCAGTGTAGTGGGAGATGGACAAGCTCTGTGAGTGGCGCTGTTCAAGAGGTCCCTAAGGCCTTGGCAGCATGGCTTCCAAGGGAAACGTGCCTTTCGGCCCTTTGCTTCCTCTCTCTCTCTTTGGTGGTGTGAGCAGCTCTGCTCCACATCACGCCCATGTGCTGCTGTCATGTGCTGCCACACCACTAGGCCCAAAGCAACAGTGTCCCTCAATCACAGACAGGGACCTATAAGACTGAAGCTACTTTCAACCTTTCTCCTGCACAAGTTAACTAGCTTTATTATTTTGTTATAGTAACAGAAAGCTGATTGACAGAGCAGCTGTATAAGGAGTAGGGTCCTTCTCAAATCTATAACTGGTTACCGTGTGGGGAAGAGATTTGAAACTGGCTTATGGACTTTGGAACAGTTTGGAAAAGCAAGCTACAGCAAGCTAGAATGGTATAGGTGAAATGTAATGGCCATTCTGTGGAGGGTGTAAATGACCTCAGTGTGGGTGAAAAGGAGAACAGTAAAGCCGTGATGATCAAGCTTGTGTATGGAACTAAAGGTTCTATCAAGAATTGGATTAAAATTGTCCTTAATACGTTGGGGCAAGTAATTTGCATGCATTTTTTCATTCCCTGCTACTGTCTGGGGAGCTGAGCTTATGGTGATGGATTAGTTTTTTCTGCTGGACGACGCTTTAGGGCAGGGCTGCATTCAACTGCAGCATGGGTGGTACTCGGTACTTTTACTCAGATTTCCTGAGAGAATCTGGGGCTCAGAGGAGCAGCGCACAGATTTTGTTTTTCTGAGTTGCAGCTCATCAAGAAAGTGGTGTGTAAGAATGTGTACGAAGAGGGCACGCTCCTTATTGTCAACAAACGAAGCTAAGCGCTTTGCACAAGATCGAAGGAAGCTAATTTGCTGCCACGCTGCAGCCATCCTGGGCTCAATGACACAGAAATACAAATTTATTCCAAGGACTTTGCAGGTCTTCTAAGGTTCCTTGTAGACTTCAAATTCCCAAGGAACTTTTGGTAGACTTCGTGTTCCTGCGTTTACTTCACCAGGCACGCAGAGGCTGCGGCAGGCCCAGGCATGCTGTGCACTGAGAGGTGACCTCGGAATCAGCCACGTGGTGCTGGTGCTGTAAGCATCCAGAATGCAAGAGTTGTTGGCTCAAGTCAACATCCACTAGGATTTTCAAAGACAATCTGGGAGGCCATGGAATGTGCTGCCTCCATCAAACCTCTAAAAGCAGCCACTGCCAGGGTGCCACATGAAGCACTGGCAGTGAAGCCGAAGTAGCGGGAAAGACTGACAAGATTCAGTGCTTGCAAGGATAGCTGCAGCTGCCCTGAGAAACGTGCCAAAGGAAGTGGCCACGTGGCCGTGATCAGCAAAGTCGTAGAAGTAGGGCAGTCTCCTGCTCAGCACAGTATGCCCCAGACAGTGGCAGGGCCTTGGGATTTTATATTTTTCCAGTTGTTTTTGCCATGCTTTAGGCGGACCTCTCTTTTTCATTCCCCTATTCCTCTCTTTGGGAATAGAAATGCTCACTCTGAGCTCAATCACCACTCTGTGCATTTTTTTAGCACATAGTTGACCTTGCATTGAATTTCAGATATATTGGCCTTGAACATTTAAGCAATCATGAAGTAACTCGTAGAGGAGTAAATGCATTTTGAATCATGAAATGAACATGAGACTCAGGGAGCCAAGAATGGAAGACTATGATTACAGTGTTGAATAGCCCCAAAGTCTCATGTGCTGAAGGTTTGCCCAAACCTCAGCACTGTCTTGAGGGTGTGGGACTTTGAAGGGCAAGGTCTTGTAGGAGGTGCTAGCGCCCAGAGAGCACGCAGGGGAAGGGGACTGTTGAAGCCCCATCCCTTCCTTTTTCATTTTTGCTTGATAGCTCACGATGTCTCTGAGCACACTGCCACAGGACCTACACCAGTGAGACTGACAGATCCTGGCTTGAACTCCCCCAGCTAGGAGCTAAAATGAAACTTTAATTTTAAAAAAATCTTGTATTTGTGATTTAGTTGGGACAGGGCCTCAGTACGCAGCTCAAACTCATAATGATCCTCCCATCTCAGCCTCCCCTGTTATAAGATTACCGGGTTCCATGGCTGGCTTGGCACCTGGTTGACGTGGCATATGCTACTGGGTATCGTACTTAGGTCCTGACAGTTGCCAGGCAGGCACTTAAACTGCCGAGGTATCTCCCTGGTCCAAACCTTTTATTTGTACAAGTTAGTTACGTCGAATATTTCTTTATAGTTAAAGGAAACTAACGCAGGCTCATATGTAAGTTCTTAAAGTAGCAACTTCATTTCTAGCCCTAGACAAACCTTAACACATACAACCTGGGAAGCATGGACAAAGACATTCAGGAAATCACCAAATATATTACTTTAAAAAGTGCCAAAATCAGAGAGTAGGTAAATAAATCATGTTTTCTATATTGTATTACTAGAAATAATGACAAATGAAAAATTATAGTCATAACATGTATGCAATTTACAGTGTTTAATAAGTGAAAATATAAAAACTTGATAAAGTAAGAAGTACTTTAAAATCATAAGTATAACAACAAATATGTTGTGTAAGAAAGCATGCATATAGTCATTACATAGACAGGGTATAAAAATCAAAATGAAAATGTAAAATAATCTGAAAATGTAGTTCATTACATTTCATCATTCATATAGTGCAATAAAAAAACAGAACATAAGGCCACAGTAAAGATTGCAATTTCATATTTGTCTTCTAAACATCACATATTATAGGCATTTTATTATAATTCATAGCTTAGAATATATATATATATATATATATATATATATATATACACATATATATATCACATGATTTTCTAGAGTTAGTGAAAACAACAACTATAAATACCAATATCATCACGATGGTATTTATTCCAAAATAACTGAGTATATTTTCCAAATGGCTACTTCCTTCAATAGAGACAACCCCCCCAAAAAAAATCCAAGTAAACAGCATTTAGAAGTAAGTGGCTGAAAAAAACGCCAGGAACTCAGCAATGGAGAGACACGAGCTCTAAGAAACTGAGGCTTTTGGTAGCAGCACAGAAAGCGTAAAAGGCATGGCAGCTGTCCAAGTGGGGAAACTCAACATTGTGGTAAAAAGACTAAGAAAGAGAGGGTGCTGAAGCTCCATTACCTGAGACAGTGGCCACCCTGCCTACAGGAGTGTCCCTCAGCATCTCAGGCAAAGATGCCTTGGACAGGATCTTCACAAATCCATGCACAGGCTGTGCCTCAGGGAAGGAACTGACATCACCTCATCTGCACATTCTAAACCAAGGCTCCTGCTTCAGTTGGTGGATTCCAACTGCGCCAATGTTGGAGTCTACCCAGACACAGGGAAAAGAGTTTGTACGTTCCCATCCTGGTGGCCTCAAAAAATTGAACTGAAATCCAATAAGTTCTTTTGTTCTGAATGTTTATGTCTTTCTCAAATTTGAGAAAATTTTTACTAATTTTTTTATCTGAATATGTTTTCTACTTTTCTCCTTCTCTTTAATATCTATTTCCCTCCCAATTCAAATTGCTTTATTTATTTAATAAGATCATAAAAGTTTCATACTCTTTGCTCTTTTGAAGTCTATTTTTAAACTTTTGCCTGGCTAGGATATTTTTAAAAACTTAGCTTTGGGTTCAGAAATGCATTCCCTGCTTGACATGCTTTCTTGTTTTGGGGGTTTGTCTAGTCTTGCTTTGACTTGACTTGTCTTGTGGTGCAGGGGATTGAACCCAGGGTCTGGAATATGCTGGGGAAGAACTTAACCACTGAGCCACACCCCCACCCTGTACTTTATTGGTGAATATCTTAAATTTATATTTTCATAAAGCTGTGGCCTAGATTCTCCCTAGACCCCAAAATGTGGTGGCAGCCAGAAAACTGAAGCCCATTCATTGTCTGCAATGCACATGCAGAGCAGCTCAGCATGATGGGGAAGGCCATTCCAAGACTCAGAGGTCTCAGGCTTACTTATCCCTTGGGCTCTGGCACCTGCTACTGCCCTGACTCCTTTCCCCCATCAGTTGCTGCTTTCCTGTTGGACACCCTCGGTACTCAGGTTGTGCTCCCAATGGCATAGTTATGTCAGATGAAGCATTTTTGAGTCAAACACTATAAAAAGAGAACTCTCAGGCCCTATATAATGACAAAGAGACAGATTCAACAAGAAGGATTAAACATACACAACCTCTTAGATGAAACAGACATTATAAGATCTATAAAAGAGAGACAGAGTAGATACAGCAATAGTTAGGGAACTTAACATCCTTCTTTCAACACTAGACAGATGATCAAGATGAGAAAAATCCAAAAGAAGAAGCATCAGACTTGAACTGTACTGTAAACCAAGTGAACCCACAAGACATTTGCAGCACATTCAATCTAATAGCTTCAGAGCTCGCATTCTCGCTTTCCAGCACTGGGGGGCTTCTTCACCTTGTCACATATGTTACACAGTTGCCCAAACATTTTTAATAAAGAATTTAAGCCATGTGGTTCTTTTCCAACACATGGAATGAAACGAAAACTATGGTAAGATGAATTCTAGAAATCATACAAATGCATGAAAAAAGTCCACATTCTTGAATTACCAACGGGTCAATGAATAAATTAATACAAATATCCCTCACTTAATAACGTACTTGTTTAATGACTGTTGGGACTTATGACCAAGGAGGGCTGCATGAGCCTATGGACCTCCACTTGGATCTATGACCTGTCTCCTTTTCATACAGTTCTGTGAATCTTGCTTATAGAGCCTCAATTTTTTTGTAAAGTATACCTTGTTTACATATCACTGTAATATGTGCTGATCGTGTTAAACAGCCTTGTAGTTTTATGTTTTGCTATACATTATGGTACTGCATGTTACTCTGTATAATAACAATAATAACACTAAGGATCAGTGCAACAAA